TTTATTTATTTGTATTTTAGGGAAGGGTCTACAGGGTGTTCAGGATCTCACTACTAGATTGGACTCATAGTGATCCGCCTGTTTTCAGCCTCCCAAGAGACTGGGACTACACCACACCCAGTCTCAATTGCTGTCTCAGGGTGCTCTTGGGGCAATTCTGGCACTCAGGCCTGGGAATCAAACCCCCAGGCCCTGGTGGCACCTGTTTGCAGGCACTGTAATCTGCTGAGCTATTTGGCCTGCCCTTCCATTAGTTTTAGTATGTAGGTTTAATTAGTATTTTAAATGAGTTATATATTTTGTAGTTTTTCTTTAAAACAAAACTTAGGGTCAGCCAAATAGCTCAGCAGATTACAGTGCCTGAAGGCAGGCTCAGGGGCCTGGAGTTCCATCCCCAGGCCTGAGTGCTGGCCCTGCCCCTGGGGTGTACTGAGACCGCAATTGTGACGGGATGTGGTGGCACACACCTGTAATCCCAGCTCTTGGGAGGCTGTAATCAGGCAGATCACTATGAGTCCGACCTAGTAGTAAGACCCTGAACTCCCTGTAGACCTTTCCCTAAAAAGAAATAAATAAATAAATAAAACAAAACTTAATGGGGGCCTGAGAGATAGCTCAGTGGCTGCATGGCGAGTTTAAGGTCCCAAGTTTGATCCCTGGTACCAATAATAATAATAATAAATTTAATGAGAAGTTAAAGATTATAAATAAATAAATAAATAAATAAATAAATAAATAAATAAATAAATTGGGCCTCTAAGATCCCATGGTCATTGCAAAAGTTGGGGGCAACCTGTGACTTTTTTGGTAGATGATGGAACAGAACTCTCTGCCTTCAAAAGTGTCTTCTGTCAAAAAGTTATCAGCAGGTGAAAGGCTCAAGTCAACAACTTCTGTGGACAACCCACTGCTATTGTGGACTGCTAGACTGTGTTGGATTGTTTTGCTGAATTCACACACCTATAGTATTTAGATGCCAATGGAATACCCACCTCTGAGAGGATTCAACAAAAAAGGCGATACAAAGGAAGGACCATTTTGTATCTGTATATGCAGAATAGTTAGGATAGATATACAGCTACTTTCGCTTAATTCAGTGAGAAAAAAGATTTCTACTAATAGTGTTTGGACAAGATATCATGTCTGCATCTTGTACTACAGATAACCACTGAGAAGATAACAATGTACAATGTATTAATTATTGAAACTGTCCTATTAATCAGTTTTTTTATTGTACTTTTTTTTTTTTTTTTTTTTTTTTTTTTTTGCGGAACCAGGGGTTGAACTCAGGCCCTTGGGCTTGCCAGGGAAGCGCTTATTCTACTGAGCCATCTCCCTGGCCCCTATTAATCAATTTTGAAACTGTCTCATTGCTATTTGTTTCTCAATAGAATAGAATAAAATCAAATAGTTATCAGCAGGGGCCTACTGCTGAGATAGCTCAGTAGTATAAGCGCTTGCCTGGCAAGCAAGAGCCTGAGTTCAATCCCTGGTTCCACCAAAGAAAAAAAGTTATCAGTGCTGGGCCAGCTGGGACTCCTGCCTCTCATCCCTCCTGCCAGGCACAAACTATAGCCCAGGAGGACATCTTCAGACGAAGCCAGGCAGCCTCCCTCTCATTTAACCCTGCACGTTTAACTTCGATTGTTCCCCGAGAGGAAAATGACACCTGCGTCAGCTGGAGAAGATAACCACAATCCTGAAGTTCTGAAAACTCTCCTCCCAGAGGTATAGGCTCACCCCGGGACAGGACACCAACCATGCTGGCTCACCATGACCCACATTGCTATCAGATGTCACAGCACAAATTGGTGTCCAGCCACACATCGGCCTGATAGACTGTTGATCACCTTGAGTAAGGTCAATTGCCTCAAAGGGCTAAGAACTCTCCCACTTTTCAGAGAGGTTCTAACAACAGGTTTGGCCAAGCCACCAGCTCCAAGGTTTCTCTGTCCCATCTAGTTCTGTCACAGTCCCCCAAGCAAATAGTACAGACTATAAACTGCTAAAGTATATATCTCCTGCCTATAAAGTC